TTTTTCTTCCAAGCTTCTTCTTGAAAGTGTGATCTTTTTCAGAATTGGGGGAAGATCACGACTCACGAGAGGTGGGATTGTCGCGTTCCATTCAATCTTAAGGCGTGTTTTTGGTTAGCGATTTTCAGTTGACTTACATTAACCGCACGTCGTGAATTTTTTACCAGAAAATTATAAAAAAATTAAGTTGTAGAAAAAAAAATACACAAACAAATAAGAGTGGACCATAATAAAAAACCTGAATTCAGTAAATATGTTTTACCATTATTTTAATTGTAAAACGTATTCATTGAATACATTTTCTTTTGAAATTTTTTTTGAAAAAATGTATTTAAGGAATACGTTTTCTGTACAATTTGTACATAAAACGTATTCCTTAAATACGTCCTTTTCATTTTTGTCCACTCCTTTTTTTCTTTTTTTTTTGTCCACATGTTTTTTTATTTTTTTTATTGGTAAATTGCTCCGACTTTCGTTGAGCGAGAAATGATGTGTGTTTTTTATTATTTTCTTTTAAACAAAAGGTTTTTATAATTATTTAGTATTAAATATTATGTGAAGTTTTTTCAATACAAGACACGAAAGATGGGTAGACTATCAAATCCGAACCTGAAATATTTTTTTTCTCAATTCAATGACTTAAATGTTATAAAACTATCAAATTAAGTCCTCGAATTAACAAAACTTATACCACTATTAATTAAATTGAGAGTTTAAAAAAAAAAAGTAAAAGAAAAATTGGTGCTTACTCACATAAATTAATAAGTAAATATTTGTATAATATTAAAAAAAAATAGATGATAACAAGCAAACTGAGTAAGAGTTTCATACTTTTTTTAATTTTCTCCAACAATCTTGTATTTTCCTTAATTTTCTTTATTTTTCTTTTTTTTTTTCTCTTTTTTTCTTTTCTTTGTAACAGATTTGGTGTTTTAAAACTTCAAATTAACTCTCAATTTAATGGTGTCATGGATTTTGTCAATTCTAGGACTTAATTTGATAGTTATATTGCATTTAGGTCTCGAATTGAGAAAAAAATATTTTAAGCCCCGATTTGATAGTTTACCTATCTTTCAGGCCTTGTACAGAAAAAACCACCGTAAAGTTTTTAATTTTGGTTATAATGGTGAATACTTAAGGGAGATTCTACGGTCCAATTACGGAACCATTACGTCGGAGTTTGTAACCATTAAATCAACTATTCACGATGGTTACATGATGATCAAACGTTTACAAATGTCGACGGAATAATTCCGTAACGAGACCGTAGCATTTCCCATACTTAAATCGGAATTTTCTGTTTAAGTGATGTATTTTATCTGAATTTTCTGTTTAAGTGATGTATTTTATCTTTATTTATTTATTTATTTATTGTAGATATTAACAAATAATAATTACAAAAAATAATTACTAACAAGATACTATTTTGACATGATCGTGTCAACAAAGCTATTAAAAGAATTAGTTTGGGAATACAGTTTTGTTCGGCTAAAAGTTGGAACTCCATTTTTTCTTAATATAGTTAATAAATTATAATTAAAAAATGATTTAAACTAATTCGAAAACTTTTATTTAATTGTTTACTTATATTTATTGGTTTTATATAAAACAGTCCAAAGACTCGGAACTCAACTTGTTTTCTTTTTTTGATTTTTTTTTATTTTTTTTTTGCCACATTTTGATATTCGCGTAAAAGATCCAAATACAGTCGATTTCCTTGCGCGTCGATCTCCAATGGCGGATTGGTCCATCCTCCCCACCGAGCTCCTCAATCTCATCTCCCAACGCCTCCCCGCCTCGATCGACCTCCTCCGCTTCCGCTCCGTCTGCGCCACCTGGCGCGCCGCCGCGCCTCCCCCGCCATCCGCCGCCGAGCGCTTCCCCATACTCCCTAACTCCGGCATCTCCGACACCAGCTGGGGCTTCCACCTCTCCAAACGCACTATCTATTCCCTCCAATCTCCGTTCACAGACGATCCCGCATGGATCGTCAAGCTCGAACGGGACAACCCGGCCCGGATGCATCTCCTCAATCCGCTCGCTCGGTCGCAATTCAAGCCTCTGCCCGATAATTTCCCAAGGACGTTCAGTTTCTATGATCTTAGGGTTAAGGAGTTAGGCGAAGAATATGCTCTTCAGTACATCAATTTTAGACCTACGGCGACTTCGATTGGGGAGGCGGGGAATCTCTATATGGAAAAAGTTGCCGTCTCGAATAATCCTGGCGGTGGATTCACGCTTTTGACGATTCACGTTTCCGGTAAATTGGTGGTCTTCAAATCGGGCAATGAGAAATGGATGGTGATTGATGATCTGCCTTCGCCGTACGATGATGTGATTTTCAGGGAAGGCGGATTTTATGCCGTGGACCACACTGGACGGCTTGTTCTCGTCAACATTTCTGATTTGAACGTGACACTGGTTGCAAGCCCGATTTTTGGTGGCGATAAGAAGTTTCTTGTGGACTCGAATGGAGAACTCTTGTTGGTTGATATGTATCTGAGTGTGGGACCAGCAGACGACTTGGGATTCAATGAGGGATTCGAGTTTTACGAGGAGTTCGATTGTTTTATGAGTGAGAGGACTGTGAAGTTCAAAGTTTTCAAATTGGACGACGATGCAGGGAAATGGCTAGAGATGACTGATTTGAAGGAGAGGATGTTGTTTTTGGGTGATAACTGTACTTTCTGGACGTCGAGTTTGGAAATCTTCGGGGAGGATAAGTTTACGGGGAACTGTATATTTTTCGCTGATCAGTATTCTAATGGTGAGAGTGATGGAGAATGGAAGAGTCGTGGTCTTGGAGTGTTTGATTTGGAGAGTGGAAGTATTGGGCCGATTGGTGCTCACGCTGGTTATTCGAAGATGTTTTGGCCACCTCCCGATTGGATTTTTTCGATGGAAGCTATAGAGGTAAGTTTTAGTTTATCTGCATTTTGCTTTGTCAATTGCTAGCTAAATTTGGCTTGTTAATAAGGTTTGCGATAGTGTCTGGTTGTCTTGTTTGTAGTGGAGAGTTTCCAACTGCGTTACTTGGGAGGGGAGATATTGTTGCAATATATATATGAGTGGGAAAATCAAAAGGGTTTCTTTGGTTGTCATTTGGGTTTTAAGCCACTGTGTTTTTGGCTAGTTTTTATGCAACTTTATGAGATAAAGGTAATTATTTTTTAATGTTTCAAAACAAGTGGAATTAACATCTTTCGAGCTGAATCACCTAGGAAGTTATATTTTCATTGTAAGAAAGCACAACTAACCTATAGACTTGTGGAAAAAAAGACCTATCGTTTAGTTTATGTACACCATAATATTGTCTATAGTTAGCCACACAAGATTGCTTTTTCCTGTTTTTGAGCTTTATAAACCGATTTTTGTTTTTCTTATTGTGTGCAGGGTGGGATGAATAGACTTAATATTTAACACTTTCTGTTTGCAAATGGTGTTGATTGAGCAATTGAATCTCTTCCTATCCAATATTGCCCCGGCTCTTGCTGTCAACATGTTCCGATGCCATCCACTTTTCGTAGGGATATTGAATAGTTTCTGGTAAACGATTTGCGCGGGACAGCAACCTATCTGTCACTACTTCTAATGAATTTGTGTATAGACTTTAGTTTACTTGCTTTAGAGATATTTGTAGTGTTCTCTACATTGGATTTGTGTTGCCATGTGGCTTAAACTGCTCAGAGATCCATGTAGTAGCCAATTGTTCCATCTTCGGAGCTTGTCCGGACAACCTATCTGGAACATTAAATGCAGTTCTCTGTTGAGTTCCTGTAATGTTCTTCTGAAACAAATTTCTGAAGTAATATTTGGAACAAATTTGTGTTGCCATGTGGCTTAATCTTTGAAGTAATCTTTGCAATGAATTGGTATATAGAAAGAAAAACTTGCAATGAATTTGTGGAAGATGTGGATGATGGTTATATGAGCTTAATTCAGCTTATCAATGTAGTAAATTGCCTTATGCCGATCGTGCGGCTACATGAATTTTACTAATTTGTTGTCATTTTAGCTGAATTATACTAATTTGTTGTCATTTTAGCTTTTGAATCATGGCGCATAATATGTTCTCAGCGTTGGGTTCAAACCATGCTCTCAGCGTTGGGGTCTGGTTTGAACGGGGGGTTATCACCACTTGATCAAGTGAGTGCTTGATATCTCATTGTCAATCCAATAGCAAGATAATTCCTCGTAATTTAACGCTTTTGTATATGCTTGATAGCGCTATCGATTACTTGAAAATTACTAAAATGCATCCTTAAAGTTTGCCTGATTAAAACATGAAAACAGACTTGGTTGATTAATCTCAAGTTCCTCTCTTTTACTATAGATAAACATCACTACACCCAACCAAACATGGGACCTTTGTCCCTAAAAGAAGGTTAACACATCGCAAAACGGACTATCCAAGTTCAGCTAAAGCCAAGCTGACAAATTAAAACTGTTCAAACTTACAGTAAACCCAACACCCCCCAACTATACCCCATCCAGATCTTAAAAGAGAGAAAACAAATGTCAAAACTTCAAAATACGAAACACTACTCTAGACCACATATACAGAATAAATATTAGCCGGACGGGCAATTCCCTAACTTCAATTTGTCATATAATTGAAACATTTAATCAGTCGCGCTCTGGGGCATCCCCAGTGACCCTCCTTGACCCAAGGTTCAGATTCCCAGCATACGACCACAGCTTATCCAAATCCGCCTGCATGACCTTGTTGTCTTTAAAGTTTGGGGCTTTAGTGCTCTTGTCGAGTGGTGTAGCTGTCTTTCTTGGGCTGCTTGGCTGAGGAGGGGATGAGCAGAATGTTGGAGTCGCAAAAGGAGATGCGTAAGGTGTGTGCTGAATGGAGAAAGGGCTTGGGGACATCTTCTTCTGGACAGGCAGGCCACTGAACCCTCCCCGGTTGAAAATCGAGTGGGCCTCGGCAGCTGCACATTGCCTTGTGGCATCATCAACGTATAGAACATCGTCGATTCTTGCGATTACGTTGAAAGCCAAACTCTCCATAACCCGCGAGTAACTTTCCAGAATTGCATGCCCCACATCCTGTCCATAAAAAAAAAACTTTAAATGCTAGAGATATGTGTAGTCTTGTAATAACAAAAGACAAAAGGGTATTTAAGTGATATTTAAGTGAGTGGATAAAATAGGATTGGGTTATCATATCAACCTTGTTGTACTGGATTTTGCTCATGTCGAGTGCAGTCTGTGGAAGACCGGGAAAACGAAGTCTGAGAGTGTGCAGCAGGGTTTCAGCGCGTTGAGCCAGAAAATGATTCTTTTCTCCATCAGCCACGAAGCCCTTCACTTTACCACCCCACGACTTCCGTTTGGGTTTCTGAATGTTGGGGTGTTTCTTTCTTTCTTTCAGCTTCCAGACGTGCACGGCTGCCTCAATCCTGTTCGCCACATTTACAGTGTGGTGCTCTGATGACAAGTCGAGGCAATCGAGAAGATACTCGGGAGAGAACTGATCGGCATTTAGGTAACGGTAGATGATGTCACCCAAACAATCTCTTCCATTCTGCGACAGAATTTTATTGCGAATAAGATTTTGCAGCATATCCAAGTAGGACATTGTATTAAATGCAAAAGCAAACATAGTGAATCAGCACGTATCACAACCCAATACAAGTATACAATGATGTAGTGAAAATTATTAGACTCAATTCGAAGAGGAGAAAAAAGGAAATATTTACCGTTGATAGTAAAAAAAGCACATGCAGACACAGCAGGGTTTCATTATATGTTAAAATTACTCGGATACCCCCACCACCGAACCACGTACAACGGAAAACTAAATGGGACATGCAAGCATGTTCACTTGCAAAATTTAACAAGACAAGTAAATAAATAAGGAGATCCACCTTGGGTAGGGTTTCCATATAGGCAGTTGGAATGTCCATCTCGGCTAGCACGTTGCTGTTTATGGCCATGGCTGCTTTCAGAATCTGGTTCGTGCAATCCCTGCACTGCTGCAACTTTTTCCTTGCATCCACGGACAACCCTTTATCGGGAACTTTAGGGCAGGGCAGCCACCACTTCTCCTCCTGTCTAACCGAAGGCCTACCAGATGATGCCCCCGATGAGTACTTATCACACTCATCTACGACTATCCCTCGATCGACATACCAAAACTCAGTCTCCCGAAACCCATCAAGAATACTAATCAACATGGCATCTAGTTTCTTCAAAGCCGGAAGGTTCATGCACAAATCAGAACGTGGCCTTGTCGCCATTACCTCGTACGTACCCCCACCAGGAATTTGCTGTATGGAAGGAAAGAGCTCCACTATCGAGTCACTGACAGATAAGAGCCACTCCATCTCTCTGCACCACATTGTCTTCTTCTGTGGAGCCATGGGCTCCAGTCTCCAGAGTTCCCCGAATACAGTGGCTACAATTCCCAAAAGGGTTCAGTGAGAAATGGCACGATAAAATTGAATTATTTATAACGAAGAATGTATAGAAACTAGAAAGAGAACTAACCAGAAAGATTGGTGATGGCATTTGATATGGCTAAGGCAGTACAAACCCCTTTACCCCCTCCAGACATGTCCTCGCCGAGTAGGAGCTTCGCAAATCTCTCCTTCATCATCTCAATTTCTACAATCGTGCCAAAATTACTCAGATAATGGTAATTAAAGGTTTCAGAAGCTTAGATAATAAGCAATAACAAAATCCTCATAGTTAAACCAAATCTACGTTTAACATAGCTTGTATTGGTGCAAGAACAACTGTACATTACACATCCAGCGACAGCAATTTTATGCATAAGACGATATTCAAGAAAAGGGTACTATCAGAAGGCACCAGATCACTGATTTGGCAACCGCATAGGTTCAACACATAGTACTATTACCGTTAAGATGAGATATGTAACACAGATCTATAGCCATTTTTTGGTTAAATGCTATTACACGAAAACGCTGTCGTTACTCAGAAACTCGACATTAAAAGCAGCAATGGACTAAACAAATCAAGCCGCAAGCACAAACCGGACAAATCGGAAGCCCGTTTCTGCGGTGTCTCGTCCCAAACCACAGCATCCTTGCCTCCGATCAAGGGAAAACTGAACGCCGGCGTCAACGGCGCCGAACTTCCGGCCGCGAAGGGTGAAAACCCGGTGGAGCTGGAGGCGCCGCCGCCGCCCTCGTCTTCCTCCACGCCGTCTGTCGAGCTCTCCGACTCGCTCACGTCGGCGCTCAGGCTGTAGCTCCCGCACCTCTCCTCGCTCCCTTCCTCCGACGAGATACTCCCCATGGCTTCTGAACCAAAAAAAAAAAAACACGGAGATCTCAGATGTACATTCGAGTTTTTGCCTCACACTAAAAGGAAGACGTGGCCGTGCCGTTAACCGGAAGATTTCTGGTTCAGATAAGATTGATGGTGAAGGTGGAGGAAAAGCAAAAGCCGACAATAATTAAAGCAAATGCAGCAGCTTCACTCCCTCTATCTACTCTCAGCCCTTTCACCTTCATTTCTCACAGTGTATGTATATGTGTGAGGTGGGGACGGCGTTAACGGCGAGGAGGTGCGCAGTCCGTTGTTATTAACGGCGTTAGACAGTGGGGGCTGTGTGTGTGTCTCCTTCTAATGACTAGACGACGAAATAGGTCAACGTTGTGGTTGGGTTTGGTCGTGCCACGCAGGCAAAGGCACCAAAATGTTAGTGAAATTTGCGGCAATTGAAAGGTAATTGGTCTAAATTATTTATTCGGAAAATTCGAAAATCAATCGCTCATAAATCATGTATTTATATACCATAATTTTTTTTTTTATATTTATCTTAACTTATATTGGCTATATTTTCGCATTATATTAATCACACTCATCAATCATATTCCCTAAATTGTTGGATCATTATCCTAGATAAAAGCAAACGGTATGCTATGGAATTTTATCATTATCCTAAATTCATGCTAGGGCTGCAAATAAGCTGTGTGGCTCGTGAGCTCTCGACTCGAGCATTTTAAATTCGAACTCTAGCTCAAGTTCTAGCATGTACGTAGTTGCAACTATATGTAAAAATTATCTTAATATTTAAATTAGTTATTTTTAATTAATTTGGAATCAGACTATAACAATTTGAGTTCAACTCGAGCGTTTATATCTTTTTTGGTGAGCCGTATCGAACATAGAGCATGTGCTAAAAACACCGAGCATAATTCAGTAAGGTCAATTCTCGGGTCGGCTAGTTGAGCTTACACTTTGAGGTTTCTACTATGTATGTTTATTTTGAGATCTAAAAGCATGAAAAGCAAAAATTATAGTAATGAATATGAATTGTAAAATAGTTGGATATTAGTTTATTTTAAGATGTATGACATGGAAAAAAAAAAAAAAAAAAACTTGTAATATTTTATGTGAATTGTGAAATTTGATTGATATTGAATGAATAATAACAATAAATGAGGAAAAAAAATGTAATATTTAAGTGAAACGTATGTATAAAGATCTTTTTACATCTAATAAACGACTATTAGACATTACATATCTCATAACAATCATTCTTAACATTATCCACGTGATAATAGAAGAAAGTAATTCACGAACCATTTGAATGTACTTTATTTATTCTAACCATTTGATTTATTTTGAAATTATGTTAGTTTATTCTAATGCCTTTGTACATTTTCAATCCCGATTTCTAAAATCATACTTGATTTGAACCTCTGTCTATAGTCCAAGACTTTCCACATTTACCATGATAAGTAATAGAAAACATTAAATATAACACTCTTATACTAAGAATCATTTATTTATTTAAAAAAAATAAAAAATAAGTGGAATAAAATAAAACAAAAAAAAAAAAATTGTGGAAAAAAATCAAACGGACGGATTCTCACAATCCGTGTTTAAAAGAAACACGGATTCTGAGAATCCGTGTAACTGTAATTTTACAACGAACACGGATCACCAAAATCCGTGTTCCCTTAATTACGAAAGGAACACGGATTACCAAAGTCCGTGTTAACTTAATCTCGTAATTAAGCTAATTAATTAAACAGAACACGAATTATGAAAATACGTGTTTTTGTGAACACGTATTGTAAGAATCCGTGTTACGTAAACACGGATCACTACAATCCGTGTTTAAGTATTTATTCATTTTTTTTTAAAAATATTTTTTATAGTATATAGTTTTTTTTTAATATATACTATATACATAATTGACTGAGATTGTTATATAATTGACTCTTGGATGATCACGAGCTTCCTACTACCGAACGCGTTTATTTTGGCTGAATTTATATTGTTATCTTTCAATATGAAGATTTTTTATAAATTTTGATTTAACATTTTTAACACGAAACAATGTCACTTTAATATGAATTCATTCGTCAACTAATAATCTAGTACAAAAAAGTGAAGCACAATTAACGATAAAAAAAAATGAACCACGAAATATGTACACAAAACCATCAAATT